ATTATACGGCTTACCAAAAATACATAAAGTTGATACACCTCTTCGTCCCATAGTCTCTACTATCAGCTCCCCCACCTACAAACTAGCTCGTTTTTTGTCTGAAATCCTGCGTCCTTTCACTGGAAAAAACACCTCTGCGGTACAAAATTCTACTCACCTGGTATCAACAATCAAGGGTATTTCCCTGTCCCCAGACGACCTGCTTGTCAGTTTTGATGTAGTTTCCTTATTCACCAAGGTTCCTGTACCTGACACCATTGCAATCATTGAAGACTTGGTTCATCAAGGACTAAACACTGAGGTACCCCCCCTGGTGAGACACTGTTTAACCAATACATACTTCACTTGGAATGGAACTTTCTACAAACAAACTGAGGGCACCCCAATGGGCTCCCCCCTTTCTCCAGTTATAGCTAACATTTTCATGGAGAAATTTGAGACTGACGCCATTCAGACTGCCACTCTGCGCCCAACCTTATGGAAGAGGTACGTGGATGACACTTTTGTCATCTGGCCACATGGCCGGCCTGCTCTAGACCAATTCTTCGACCACATCAATTCCATACACCCAGCCATCAGATTTACCATGGAAGTCGAAATAGATGGCAAGATACCTTTTTTGGATGTCCTAATTAAAAAGAGACCTGATGGTTCAATGAGCCACTCTGTCTACAGGAAAGCTACCCATACGGATGCTTATCTGAAACCGGATTCCCACCACCATCCATCACAGAAGAATTCTCTCATCAAGACTCTGTATCATAGAGCCCAATGCATATCCGACCAGGAACACATAAGCAGTGAACTCAAGCACGTACACCAAGCTCTTAGGGCTAATGGTTACTCCGACTATACAATCCGCAAAGCTATCACTCAAACCATGAAGAAAAACCCTCTTGAGGAGCCTTTCAAAACCATCACTTTACCCTACATTGCTGGGATCACAAAAAAGATCTCCAAAATCTTGAATAAACACAAGATCCAGGTCCGTTTCAACACATTACATAAAATCCGTGATCTGGTTCCGTCTGTAAAAGATGTGATTCCGGACATACAATACCCTGGTGTCTACAAACTAAGTTGCCTCTGTGGTAGTAGTTACATTGGAGAAACCAAACGCCATATCTCGGACCGCATTCGTGAACATAAAGCAGACCTTAAACACGGTAGGACCAACACCTCGGCCATAGCAGATCATTGTTCTAATTCAGTAGGCTCACATGCCATTGACTTTTCCAAGACGGAGGTTCTTTGTAAGCCATCTGGCTTCCATGAGAGATTCGTTCATGAGGCTATCCACATATACAAGCACAGAGACAATTTCAACCGAGAAGATGGATTCTATCTTAGCAATCATTGGAAAGATTTGATAAATCATTTCAGTTCTTGATTGATTGTTCACGCTTACAGTGGCTTTCAGACAGCATACATAAAAACAAATTTCGTCTCCCCCCTCCTCTTTTCAAAAAATAGATGGACTAGTCCTGGCAAACTGCCAATCGTTGCGCGTGACGCAAACGTTATTTTTTGTATAAATAAATAAATAAATATGACGTTTTCAAAATAAATTTATGCAAACCGACACACCTGATGATGACCGTTTGAGTTATGGTCGAAACGTCGTGAGAATTTTTTATTGTTTTATATATATTTTGTTATTTTGTTGTTTCTCTTCAACGTGACTTTACCGAAAAAACTAAGAATATGAATTACTGCAGTCACGAAAGCTTTAAATCAAAATACCTTCAAGATGCCGTAGAGGCCTTACAGAAAAAAAAGCATTGTGGCTATCCAGTGTCTATGCACTATGAGGGGCTCTTTAGAGTTCTCCAGTGGAGTCCCTTCCATCAGCAGTGGCGTTAGCAAATAATTGTTGAGCTCCACCTTCACATTGATATCTATAGGGTTTCTACAGGAATTCTGGTTTTCTCACACGTGCAAATCACTCATTCAGCAATTGACCATACATTTTAATGCATAACTTTTGTCATGGAAAGGTCTCAAGACCCAGTGAAAGCTTTCCTGCATAAAAGATGTTACTACTGAACTGTTAACTAACGCGTGATCAGAAAAGGTCGGCTGTGATTGGGTATGCCTAGAACAGTGACAAGATACATGATAAGCCACTTCGTTGGGCTCTCATTTGTGGCCAGGTCGCTTCTGAAAAGGAGCTATATAGCTCAGTGGACCTTACCTGGTAAAATAAAAAAAGTTTATTTTAGTTAGTTACCCTGAAAGACTGTGGGGTCAAATCATCATCATCATCATCACCACCACCAAAGTCTATAAGTTTCCCATAGCAATGGAACACACAGAGCATCAGGTGCTAATGTTAGTTGGCCCAAGTGAGGGCGCAGCCCATTTCACAAGCCAGTTTACGTTTCAAGATCCAAGTTTATTTTTTTTAATTAGTTGAGAACTCAAGAGACAAGGATGAGTCTCATTTTCAAGAGTGGCCCGAGTCACCAAAGTTGCCAAAGGAATATATATATTTTTAAAGTACAACAATCAAGCCAATATTATTCAGTGTATGTGTATTGTATACACGTTGCAGTGTGGGTGTTTATGTGAGCACGTGTGTTATGTACGCAATGCATTGTGTATGTGCGTGTTGCACATCAGATCATCGTCCCTCTCACGAGTAAACACACACTTCAATGAAAAACAAAGATCCCCCATGCACAATCACACATACACACAGATGTACAAAACACAAAGACAAATATCCCCCGTATGGCCTACATTCCATAATAGTTTACATATCGACTGCCAATGCTATGCATGGTCAGGAATCAAATACAGGTGGTCTATATTGCAGCTTATTGTTCTAAAAGCTACCTCACCACCCACCATATGATATGTAAGCAGTAAACACATTCACACACTTAGGGATGCACTGTGTGTTAAGTCCAGGTATATATAGAAATCGTGCTCCCGCCTAAAAGAGCTATGTCCGTATGTTCAGACGGTGGTCCAGGTTTGACAGAAGTGTGTTCTTTACAGGATGTAATGCATCCGTTTAAATCTTTTTTCGACTCTGCATCATAAATAGTACGGGGTTGTAGGCCACTGTGTGCCCTTTAAAACGATCCATCGTGCAGCCTTTGGAAACTTGTAAACTTTGGTGGTGACAGTCAAGCGATGCTACAGCCATGCGGGCCAAACACAACCCCCGTAACTTTCTTAGCATGTGTGACTTCACGAACGTATACCCACTGCATGAGCCGCGATTGGCCAATTTGTTTGAAGAGCATTCTTGAATGAGAAACGGGGGGATCGAGTGCTTGCGAAAAAGTGTACGCGTACGTTACATAAACATCGACTGTCTACAGTGAGAGGTCAGCAAGGCATCACACGAGAGGTCAGCAAGGCATCACACGACTGGGCAGTTTGGGAGTGGCGCACACGAAGAAATCTGCACGATCTACCAAGCAGCCCAACCTCAAACACGGCGCTTCACAAGCGTGCATCGTCACGCCCTGCGCAAAAACAAAGCGCAGCGCAATGGGTAACCGACAATGCATTTCGCGTCACAATATGTTTCGTGAGATTTGTGTGTACGTGTCAAGAAGCTTGCAGCGTTTATGGGTGCACGCGGTGCCGTTGTGGCTGCATGCCCACTCCACCGAGTCCGACAAAAAGTGTGCCCGAGTGACACAAATGGGGCGGCGAGTTGAGGCGAGCCGTGGTGGCGGTGGCGTTCAACGTCCCTTTTAGAATCCTTGTGAGCAACGCCGCGTCACTCGCAATGGAAGCGGGGCCGGAGAAGGCAGCAATCCCCCCCCCCCCCCGCCCCCCCTTGCCACCTTTCACATAGACAGTCCTCTTACCCCTCTAACCCTACGCTGTCAAGTCCCCATCAAGGAAGAGACAGGCAGGTGTGGAAGTTCACACAATCTCAACACCGAAAAAAGCTTGAAGAGGATGCGATAATACACGCAGCTAGAATTAGTGCAAACGAAAGCGGACACGGAGGTCATGCTGATTGTCTTCATAATGAGGGATTAACATCGAACACCAAGAATCCTAAGGGTGACTTTTACTCTGAGCCTCTGGTATTAACACAGAGCCAACACATGTTTTCGTGGTGCCTTGGTCTGGTTGCAAAAGCCTCAGGCATTAACCATGAGCCGAAAGAATCCTAAAAATGCCCAAGTCTGACTCTCAGACTCTCCGAAATTAACCCAGAGCCCTAACATTTCTAAGTGTGCCTGTGTCTGGCTCTCTGAAATTTGAGTATTAACACTGAATCCTAAGAAGCATTAGGGTGCATTACTGTAATGGTTATTTGATATGTTTATATTAATAATGAATATAAGTATCCTAATGGTGACTTGGCTTGGTTAAATGGGCTTTGGGCATCAACACAGAATCCTAATGGTGATTCAGTCTGCCTCTCAGAGTTTCAAACATTAACAAAGGCTGGTTCTCTGAGTCTTGGGTGTTCATACAGAATGATCAACGCCCAGGTTCACAACTCTTGGTAGTTGTTTGGGTCAATGCATATGTAATAGTATTCGGACCCACAGAGTGCATAATCCAGGCCTGAAATAGCATGATTGTGTGCAGTTGAATGGCGTTAAACACACGGACAAATATCCTCAATATAGCCTTCTAAACTATGCTATTAGTGAGCAATTGATTATATTTATAAGCAGACAGTTCACAAGAGGTCGGTATAACAAGGGCATATCCTGACCACCTTCGTCTTCGCAGTAATGAAGATCACAGACACATCCCGGTCCTGTTAACCCAACAACTCCTGGGTCCGTCTTGTGACCTCGTGCCGACAATTTTTTCTGCGGCTCCACACTGACCCTGAAGTGCACCAGGCCTGGCACAACTGCCATGGTAATGTCACCGCGATTTAGTGACTAACGGCAGCTGATGCCGCCGCTGCGCGTGCAAAAAAGGAGACTGCACGCAATCGGCCTACTGTGAGTCAGACCTCCGTCAAACTCCCCAGACCCCCCCCCCCCCACCGAATGTTGCATTCTCACCGTCGGTGCTCATCCCCACGGTCGGCCGGAGGCACAGTCACGCACTCATCGTGGCCGTGGAATAACCTCAGCACGTCGCCTCCAATCAGGTAGCCTGCCCGCCAAGACCAGGGCAAAGGGGAGCGGGCAGACACGAGCCGAGGTGAGCACAAGAGATGCGTGTTCTCGCAAAACCTTCACTTGTTTTTGGAGTCCGTGAGCATTGGCATTGAGAGGCTGCCGCGGTGTGACGGTTATCACGCTGGACTTGAAGCCTAGAGACCTCCTGACATCGTCATTGTGATATATCAGCAGGGAAGTTGAAAAAATAGCCAAGTATCTTTAATCCATCTGCCTCTGGTCACCCTGCAGCAAAAATGTGCGCACCACAGTTGGTGGATGGGCAGCAGGATGCGTGTTGCGAGGACTCCCTCCTCTTCTAAGACATCTGGCCAGCCTATGTATGGATTACGTTGAACTTCTTTCACACCGTACGTACCCAACCGTGCTAATCGGAGGTGCGGGGGAAGGATAACGAACTGAACACAAAAATCAGCTCAAAAAAGAAGTTCGTTTTCGATATAGATTTATGAGTGCATAGCTCCAGTGGCTGCCTAATGTCGGAAGGGAGAGCGTTCAAGACGGCCGCAGAAGCGCACCTAAAAGCGCACGATGCGCTAACCGTCTTTGTTCGATGGAAGAGTAGGCCAAATGCCCCCTCTAGAGATCTCTCGAGTGACGATCCTACCACCAGCAGCGGTGGAGGCAAACATTTGAAAGGCTGCATAGTTACTTTCTTCGTATCAGCATCTTGCTGATACACATCCCACCAACGTCTTTTTCAATAGGGCAGCACGAAGTGTAGGAAATTACACACGCAACTGGCAACACATACCAAGCAGATATCTTGCCGAACAAAGTATTAAAAGACTGGCTTTCCTGAGTAAATAATAATAATTACATGTACAGCCCTTTATCAAGCCACTGCTGGACAAAGGCCTTCCAAGGTTTTCGTGACTGCAGGGATCCATACTCTTTGGTTCTTTCGGAAAAGTCACGTAGGTATAAAATTTAATTAAATCACGAGGTTTCGGGAAGCGCACAAGCGTCCGTTATCAGGTGGGACAACCACAGCAGGAAACAATTGCTGAAGTGTTCCTTGCTGTGGTTGTCCCACCTGATGACGGATGGTTGTGTTGCGCCCGAAACGTCGTGATTTAATTTAATTTTATACTTACGTAACTTTACCGAAAGAACAAAAGAGTATTAGACAACACTTTACTATGATGGTCAGTGTTGGTTGTGGGCTGATGAATTCTTGTAGCAAGTTTCAGTTCAAAGATCACTTGCCACTGTTGCTGAGCTATGATTGGGATTTTTAACTTAGATCGCCAGGTTCATTGTGCAGTGCATCGTGCAGTGCACTAACCACTGCACCACCTATTCACTGCCTCCTGAGAGAAATACTCTATTTTTTCCCTTACGATGTCAATTGAGAGCCAGTTAAGACACAATATCTTCATGGTATTTAATTATATTCATGGTAGGAAACACATTGGTAAAAATATATATTGGTCGTACAAACGTACAACACATGTTATTTAAGTTCCAACTGCCTGCCCATGCATTGTATATTCATTCTGTCGAATGGCATCTGAACTGCTAAGCTGAAGTCACTGGGTCACATGGATGTAGAACCTCTATCGCGCCATACATAGCCAACCGTGCTAATCGGATTGTCTATGATAGCACGTGGGGAACATACCTTGGGCCATCTCACTCCCAGAGCACACAGGAGAGACGTTCCACAGTGTCTGCTGGAAGGAGGCATCCACGTGGAGACTGCCGTTTGCGTGCGAGAGATGCTGCAGGAAATGGGACAAACGCGTGATGAAGAGGGGCGGGTAACAGGAGTCTCTTCCCTGCGGACATCAATGACGGTCGCATCACAGCATTGCCGCATACAAACACTGCTATAGCATCTGGCCAGGCGGCACTGTGATCACAGTGCTCAACCCAGAGTCAATGTGTCAGGATGTCAATTCCCAATCAGATATCGACTCAACCCATTATTGCTCCAAGGGCAATACATTCTGTCAATTTTTAGTTAAAGCTTCCGTGACCGCAGGGATTCATATTCTTGGTTCTTTCGGTAAAGTCACGTAAAATTGTTTGCTTTATGTACAGACGCCAATGTGTATCCTTTGGGAAGCCTGAGAATGAGGAATTTCCACTTTTGGCCCATGGCCACAACAGAGATGAATATCTCCCAATGCTCTTGTGAGCATAGGACACTTTGATTACCCGAGTCATGCCATAATTCTTTGAGAGCAATACACAAGACACAATATGCCAGATATGCCAGCCTCAATCTCGACACATGTGCGCGTAAAACAAGGTTCAATTATATAGCAAAATGTGTACATTCTTAGGAATATACTAAGGATGTTTATCTTTGAGCTGCAGCAAGAAACAATATATCACCATCACTCAGTGCCAGTCAGAGGGAGGTCAATAGTGTGGTCATCCTCTGCAGAGATTGGCTTAAAGCCATTGATGTAGATGAGCACTGCCCAACACTCATGCGAATGGAGAAACATTCCAGATTTTAGATTCAGTAGAAACATCAACACCTATCAACAGACGCCATACTGACACGTGATTCACCCCTCCACGCCCGCGCCATTTTTTTACGCATGCGGGTTTAAATACTGTGCGTTGCCCAGAGACCATTACGTGAAACAGAATCCAGAGGGCAAACAATATCTAACTGTGATGTGCATGAATAAATAAGTTCACCCAAGCGAGGGAGCAATTGAATGATTGGGCAAATGCTTAGTGAGCAGAGGGAGGAGGCCACGGGAAACGTGACGCCAACTCGGCGTAGGCGAGGAGGGGGAGACTAAATAAATAAATACACCCAAGGGGGGAGGAGAGGAGGATGAGAGTAAATAAATAATTCCACCTAAGCAAGGGGCAACTGAATGATTGGGCAAATGCTTGAGGGCAGAAGGAGGAGGCCACGGGAAACGTGACGTGGAGGAGAGGAAACTCGTACCAGGTATCTCTCCGAGGAGATGCTGACCAGGATGAGGTCATCTCCAACTCTGACCTTTTCGCCCTCGGAGCGCTGCTTGGATGCAGGGTGAATGGTCCACCAGCAAGCCTCACCTGCACAGCAACACGAGCCCCTTACTTAAGAGCTCCATCGATGATCCATTCGCGATTTTTTTACACACGCATCTCTTGTGTCAGTCTGAGATTATGTGAGCGTGTGTGTGTGTGTGTGCCTTTGTCTTTGTGTATTTTTCTTTGCGCGCCCGAGTTACTGATTTTGTCCAAAAATTTAACGAATAAAATTGAGAACATAGCCATCGCCAGAGCAACGTGGAACTTCCAGATGCAGCTCAACCGAGAATACAATGTTTTGGGCCAAACAGATAAGATCCACAAAGTAGTGTGTGCTTGGAACACCATTCAGGTTTGTTGTAACAATGAAAACTCCGTGTGCAGTTAAGGAATCGCATGTCACCACTGTTATGAGTACTTATAAAAAAGCGGCTATGTTTTGCTTTCATTTGCATGTTTTTTTTGCTGAGTTGATTTACACTTTTCATTTAACTAATTTTACATTATCCTGTTCGCACTGTTGTAATTATGTTTCTAATTAAGTTACTAATGCGTTAATTGTCATTCTCTTCTCTATAATGCAAGCCTTATAATAATGCTTCCATATCTCCATGGGTTCGTAATGGTAAGAAAAAACCCTTCAATATTTATGCCACGTGATTATTTTAAATAATGCGAAATGTATTGGCTATACACATACATAGATACCAAAATTAAGAAAAGCCTCCAAAATCTCCCACAGATTTCCACATGCATCTGGCCACTGCTGCCCATGCAGCGATTATAAACAGGATTGTCACTGGCATGCCTTCTCGATACGACAGATTATAAATTCAGCGTCTTGCTGCACATCTGGAGCAGCATGAGCAAAACCACGTGAGAAGGAGATGCTTGCTACCGTGCAGGATTGTGCATTAATCACAGTGATTGTAAATACAAATGTGAACATGAGGTCCCTCCCTATGCTATGTCGCCTTATGTGGGTTATTTGACCATATTTCAGCACACCGATCATTGTGGTTTGACAGAGAGACTGGCTCAGGACCGGTTCAGGTATGCCGACCCACGGATGTTTTAGTTGTGGCTGGGAAACGCACCGAGGTTTTTTGGGTTCATAGCACGGTCAGCTCACCACTGTGAGCTCACTTTCCCCCTTGTGGCATTGAAACATCGTATGAAGAGCGCAGTGAGTCCACCTTAGTACAAGCAATGCAGCTTGAGGTATTGCTGATATGTACTTTGCATGTGAATGCACCATCATGAGAATAATAAACCAAATTATTTTATTTCAAATCATAAAATTGTATCATTCAGTTGCAACGAATCTATCAAGATTTGAAGTTTTCATGACTGCAGGGATACATACTCTTTGGTTCTCATGACATTGATTTTTTTCCGAGACCAAGGTGCTCTGCAAACTTTCGGGCTACTATCAAAGGTTTGTTCATGAAGCCATCCAGATATAACACATTCCTGCGAAGGGAGCTGGTAGGAACGTTGGGTTGCCCGGTCAATGGCCAGGGTCAATGGCGGCGTGGTGTATTCCGCAAATATGCCCGACTGTGAGGGCGGGCGCAAGCCGGCGTGAGTAGGTTAAACGTTGAGTTTTATAAGGGCACCACGGGGTGACCAGCCCCTCCCCACCCAGCCCCACCCTCCCCTCCCCACCCAGCCCCTCCCCACCCTCCTCAACCAGCCCCACCCTCCCCTCCCCACCCAGCCCCTCCCTCCCCACCCTCCCCTCCCCACCCAGCCCCTCCCTCCCCACCCAGCCCCTCCCCACCCTCCCCTTTCCAGCCAGCCCCACCCCTCCCATTTTTGGAAGCACGACGGACGGACGGACACAATAATCCCCTGTGGGCTGGTGTAACCAGGAGGTTCCTACCAGTATAAACATAGATATAACTTCAACCGAGAAGATGGATACAAATTGAGCAATCATTGGAAGGATGTTATTCACCAGGTAAAACCTTAACTGCTTTATAGTTTGCCTTCATATCCGCATCTCCAGTTTCTTCAGCCTCCTACCCCCAGCCCCGCTCACTTCCCAGCCCCGGCATTTGTCGTGCTCGTGTCGGAGCTTGCAGCACTCCACTCTCCCTACCCTACACCCCCACCCTCTCTATCTCTTCTCCCTGGCTCCTCCTTATCTATATAGCCTCTTGTTACAAGCCACCCTTTTGCCCACTTCAGCAATTGTTTCTTGCTGTGGTTGTCCCACCTGATGACGGACGCTTGTGTTGCGCCCGAAACGACGTGATTTTATTTATTTTATTTTATGCCTAAGTGACTTCACCGAAAGAACCAAAGAGTATGCAACGAATCTCTTAGTTAACCTACGTGCATGTAGATCAGCCCATAATTCCTCCAGGATAGATTGTAGTACCACTCCGTGAGAAGTCTGCAGTGGATTCATCATAGGAATGTGAAATGTATTTATTAACGGCTGAGGGCCTGCTAACTGATGAGCACCGATCTACACTCACTTGAGACACTTTTGAACGTCCCAACAATGACTACCTAGAGGGAAGGCAACATTAGCTGTCCTATAGAGAGATCGGCCACTGTCATGACAATGTAAAATTTCCATCATTAGCTCAAGGCCGATGATGCCAATGAGTCCCACCACAAAGGTCATTTTAGAAAAGGAGGCACTTTTTGGGCTTTTGAGTCTTGTGTTCTGGTGCAGTGGAAGCAGTTCAATGTGCTTTGGCATTGTACTGCGGAACAATGTAATGCACAGCAATGCCATGCACAAAGCAGTAGAGGATGGCGGTGTGGAAAAGTGTGCCGTGGTGTGGTGCCATGCAGCGTGGATCGGTCCTGTGTGGACCAGTTGACCTGTGGTGTCCTCCTGAAGACCAACGTCAAAGGCCAGCTTGTCTGATGATGAGTGGGATGTCCGTAGGCAGCTCAGGTACTGAGCAGATGCACATGAGATGAAAGAACACAATGCAAAGCAGAGGTTTCAAGACACAGGAGAAAATCACTGGAGGGCACGGCAGTATTCGTCTTAACAGTTTATTACGTGCAAGAACTGCGACACCAAACGAAGACCATGCGAAGACAAAGATCCCCTTTTGTCCCTGAAAGGCTGTTTGGGAGCACCTTTTAAGGCCAGCGCTGCATGCATGGATGGTGGGGCTAACACCCCACCCACACATTCCTGGCTGACTTTCCACCGTGCTGAAGTGAACACGCCACGCCAATAAATCATTGAGAAAATCTAGGGAAAGCCCAGGCAATGGTCAGATAACCGATGTGGGCATTGGCATGCACGTAATGATTTTCTTGTTACTGTAATAGGGGAACACAGCAGATTACGTTGAGGCCAACACATGTATTGCACCATCGCTTTCCCTCCCGGGCACTTGCAAACACAGCACCGTTGGATTTAATAAAGCGAGGACAGTTCCTATTACATGTAGAAATTGCTTGTAACTTATTGAGTACAGAGGCCAAATTAAACGGCTGCAAACTTTGTCGAGGGAGGCGGCAAAAGAGTCGTGACCACTCGGGCCAGAGTGAAAAATGAATTACGTGGCAGAACACGTCCTCCCATTAAGTGATTCAGTTGAAAACATTTACAATATCCAACTACACACACACATCAGTGGACATATACGTACACACCTACGAATGCAATCAATATCACCATGATTCACCATTTAGAGGCGAAGACGTCACCTCAATGCCCATGCCAGACGTGACGCACACACTGTCTGTGTACACACGAACGCAGTGTCGCACATTAATCCTGACAACAGGGTCATACAATTTAAGCACTTGAATTATAAAGTCTGGACATCGGTCAAAAGATGTCTGTAATTGATGTGAATTGGTCAGAGGTTTTATTTTGCATTAAGGCAGTTGAAATGAAATTACCTCCTGTTAATAAAGCTGCCACTCAAAAGACCTTGAGATCCCGATTCTCTCTGTAATGAGCCAAACTAATTGGCATTCTGTTCTGAGAGCTGTAAGTAGTGGATGGACCTCCTAATGAGCTGCCTGGTCGTTGCTATCGTTTATCTCGGGCTGCATTCTTCTTCTCGTGTACTTTATTACCGTATTCTCCAGATTTTAAGATGCTCGTGAAAGTAAGATGCACCCCAAACTGGTGCGCGATGCCAATAAAGTTATACAAAAATGGTAACCTGAAGAAAATAATAATAATCATAATAATAGATCATTACGTTTCGATCGCAACACAAGTAACCGTCATCAGGTGTGAAACAAACGTAGCAGTCCTCCTGCTGACGTAGCAGTGACGTAGCAGTCCTCCTGCTGACGTAGCAGTCCTCCTGCTCTGTTTGTATCACACCTGATGACGGTTGCTTGTGTTGCGATCGAAACGTCGTGATGTATTAATATTTTTTCTACCTACGTGACTTTACCGAAAGAACCAAAGAGTATGGATCCCTGCAGTCACGAAAGCTTAAAATCAAGATTGGTAACCTGTAACCTAATGCATTGTAAACAAACAAAAAAATAAGCTAAGCTTCCTTCACGTATTTTGTCTCTGCGCATACAAAAAAAATGGAGCATTTTTACACAATCCATTGGCCGCACAGCGTTCTGGCAGCAGTGGTTCAACGTAAGCAACTTCCAGACAGGTTTCAAACATTCTACATTTCATCAGTAGTCAGGCTTGCTTCGACCGATGCTGGTGAGAACTGCCCTGCTTATGCTTGAAAATCCAGGAGAGCAAAGCGCATCTTATAACCGCGAGAATGCGGTGTATGCAATGCACGTGAGCAATACATCAGAGGGCCTTACGAGCCTCGGGTTAATGTGGCCCCTGCGTCAGCATTTGTAATTAGCCGACGAGGTGGGGAAGACGCCCAATTGATTTATTTAATCTTGGGGAATAACCACACCCACCCCTCCCCCACAAACATAAACAATGCAACTCCTAACAGTCACGTATTGAAATGAGACAGTGTGTGACTGCACATATACTGTAACCACATAAGTGTCGATGATTTTTGAACGCAAAATTCCTGCTCAGAGACACGGAGCCAGATTTCCTCCACATAGCCTCAGGTTTTTGTTTTAATTTAGGTCAATTACTCCGATAAATCGCATGCCATTTCATTCTAGAAATATTTTCATTTCTGTTATATTTCACTTAGGATGTATCGTTTGAATGAATGTATTGCTTCTCTAGTGGTAAACGCACGCAAACTGGAAGTAACTGATTCTTACATGCATGAACACCTGCATACGTACATAATCTGTGTACGAATCAACAGATTTCCTTTGGTTCAACGACGTAATAATACATCGTCATCTTCCTCTCGATTCTCAATTGAGATTAAATCCAGCAGCAATCACAGCCCCCCCCCCCACCACTACTGGCAGACTAGTGCCCACTTTGCAGGTCAGATGCTGAGTCACCAATGTGCTTTCAGAGGGACAGCTGTGACTGGGAGTGGCCTTTTTAATGTCGCAGGCGAGATTGCGATACAGGTCGATGGTCGCGTGTTTAGCGCTCCGAGTGAGATGCCCTTGATGCAAAGGGCCCTCTTTTAAAAAAAAAAACATTATCGTGATTCCTTAAACAATGACGATTTGGAAAAGCACGTCGATTGCGGATGCTCGACGCACGTCATGCTGTAAGGTGTTCCCGCACCTCCGGATTAGCGCGGTTGGCTACGTATGGTGCGAAAGAAGTTCAACATACATACGGTGACGCGGAAAACAGCGGGTTCCAGGATTCTGTGATTGGCGGAGCTGGTTGGAGGCACGTTCTCCCGTGAGGACACGAGCTATGCAGTGTGTGTGTGGGGGGGGACCTCACCATTCCGCTGTGGGCATGCCGGAGGATGATGGCGTGACCGTAGAGCAGCGTGCGGTGGCCACCACCCAGCGCCGTCTGGACGGGCGTCGTGGCGATGGACAAACACGGCACGCGCGGGCACGCGCGGGCACACGCACACAAACACACACGGGATCATATTTTCACACAAGTACGCGAGTTGCCCCGTATGAGCGGGAACACATTTACGCGCAGACACACGCGCAGGTACACAGAGCACGTGCACACACACACGCACACGCGACAAGACGCCACACTCAAGCGCATACATGCACACAGAGAATCACACAAAACAGCTCATTTAGAAAGTCATCAGCAAACGTGCCCTTTGATTCAGACAAGCTTTCAGGGAATCCCACCTGGCCTTAGTTTTAAAGGGAAAAAAAAAACACTCACGTCATTATCGTGATAGTTTTGTACGGTGAAAGCCGGGACGAATAACCAGCACCGTGGGAGGGTCAGTCAACATAGATTGGCGGTATTCCCATCAACATACAATTTCAGGGTCTACATTGACCGTGGTGTCACAACACAGGCTGAAAACACTTTAAAGGTAGAAAAAAATGTTCAGCCCCTTCTGTCAATCTACCGTTAGATTTTAAGGCATTCCCAAATCGTGTCAGTCAAAGAGATGTGTTTGCCCATACGGTATCATGCTGGTCTGTGCATGGCGGTGAAGGAAATTAAGTGCAAGACCTGTACAGATATTGTGTGCTACTCGTCGCAACCCTGGCCAGGAATCAAACTCGGGAAGCAGGGTTCATAGCACAGTGTGCCGACCACCGCACCACCGTTCCATCCCCTTTACTTTACCAATACAGGACTGTGATAAATAAAAATAAAACACTGGCTCGTAACAGACAAAATATATATTTACATGAAAAAGCCAATTTCACGATAAAAGTATAATTCAGGAAGAGCCACTGAAAAAATAAAATTTGATACTTTTTTTAAGTCCGAAGACCGCATTTGTTTATGAAGATTTTAGTAAAGTGTTTTAACTCTTAACTGGTTAAATTTTGATTTAAAGCTTTCGTGACTACAGGGATTCATATTCTTGGTTCTTTCGGTAAAGTCACGTAGAAGGGAAACAATAAAATCATAAAAATATAAAACAATAAGATTCTCACGACGTTTCGACTGCAACACAAGCAATCATCATCAGGTGTGAAAACCACAGCAAGAAAATTTGAAAAAAGTGGCGATTTGGCAGTTATTCAGATGGACGAGTCCATCTATGTTCGGAAAAGATGTGATTCTGGACATACAGTACCCTGGCATCTACAAACTAAGTTGGCTCTGTGGTAGTAGTTACATTGGAGAAACCAAACGACATGTCTCGGACCGCATTCGTGAACACAGAGCAGATCTTAACTGGTTGTTTAATCAGATACAAATATTGGAGTTAGAAGCAAAGTGCCATGTGCAATATTAATTTCCACACTTTTGGCTGTACACAACCTGAACACTGATCAATGCACTGAAATTTCACTCGGTGCCGATTGTGTAACACCGTAACACGTGACCCCCCCCCCGCTCCAACATGATCATGCGTGGTGTTTACAAGGCATGCCGAGGGTCATATTGGCATGTGCAGAGTCAAATATTTCTTGAATTAGCCAGAGTGAGTTAGTAGCAGGTCATGTCACCTGACCTGCTTCGACAAGTCAGGAGACCCACAACGCAACTGTACCAACCACAGCCTTAGGACAACACAAACGGCACGTCGCATGTCACCTTCTGACACGGCGAGCAGTTCAACGCCTTTCACACACCACCGTCGAAAAGTATGTTCTGTCTGTGATTTTTGCTTGTTTGGTTTCTTGAAATGATTGTTTTCTTACCTTCATCATGAATTTCTGTTAGCGAAGCAAACACACAAAATGAAGAGAGCGACTTAGACATCTGACACGAAACGAATTAAACATCACAAGGGTTGGCCTGTGCGCACTCGGGGTTTAAACGTTGTCACGCACAACAAATGCACTCTACAAATGATTCAGCCGCTTAATGTGTAATTCAATAAGGATTATTATTATTGAACATACATATCTGCGTGTTTAAACAACAACAAAAATGGTTGTACGTGTGGCCGCGAACACGCACGTTTAACGAGTTTCTCAGCACAACAGAAGGACGCATTAACAGCCTCTGCCTCGATTCATATCACAGCCCAACACTTCTCAGCTGTGGCTACTCCACGCAGAGGCGGCTAAGCCTTCATGAGGGGGTGGATCATTAGTTTCCTGCACCATACACAGCCATTGCCTATAGAGTCTTTAACCACGCCGTGCCCTAGCCATGCAGCCCTTCTTATCAGGGTTGCAATCCCTTAAACTGCACACGCAGGTGCTGCCTGTGACAGCATCTTTAGTCAATCACGTGAAACTTGCAAAAAAATAGATCTGCCCTGCTAGCAGTTTGACATACATTGAAGGCAAACCCAAGAAACCAAGAGACATTTTGATATATTTGAAAAAATTTAAGATTTTAAATTTATATAGGTTTTTCATGTATACGGCATATATAATTCCTGTTATACATGCTTCAAAAATGTATCACGTTTCTGTTAAGACTGGAGCAATTAATTGCGTAGTCAGACAGGGCACCTACTACATTGCAGCTGTATGGCAAATGCAACTATGAAAAGTAAAAGTGCAAATTTATATTCTAACTGCAACTAACTACTCCTGTAGAGTCTATTGAATTGGACACTCGCTCTTCCACTTACAATAAGTCAAACACTGGGTTCCATTGACGTAAATAATGTTCTAAATAGTTGTGACATAGTCATCAGTGGTGTGCAGTGCCGGCCGGCTGTATATGACCAAAGCGCTGTGGCCAAAACAACGCGTACCCTATGGACATCGAAACGCTATACTCTGAAGAACTAATTCGTCCATGAGAACAATCTGTGGATAACAACTGTGGTGCATCGAATGTCAATATTCACCGTGGTCACATGTCTGCTGATGATCACTTTTAAGTTTATTTTGTGTAACCAGGTGGTAACTCAAGCAAACAGGATAGTCTAATTTGCGAGATTGACCTGGGGAATAAGTCTACCAGTCGGCGGCAATGATTGGTATGTATAATCCCAATTGAGTAAATTGAGGTTCATTTTCGAATTTGACAGATTTGGACGCTGACGCCGGCATGCAATGGGCGACTCTTGCAAATAATGTCAGGGGGATTATTTGACATCCACTGTGAAGCAGACGGCACATATAGCTATCGATATCACCCTCACGCTAATAACCAGGGCAGCCACTGGATTCGGAACCGTTAACCTCTGCAAGAAGAGGTGGAGGTGCTATGGCGAGGCCATGCCAACTGCCCTTTAATGTCGGCATAGGCAACACATTGAAGACACTGCACATGCGCATTCACAACTTCTATACATAAAGCTACCATTGGGCATTTAGATTTAACAATGGTGCAAAGCATTCCAAATGGGCATACGTATCTCCTAAATATATCACGGGTGTCAGCTTCATCCAGTTAATATGGAGGCAGCTTTAATTAACTTTCTTGCCATGCAATATTCAATGATCCACTGGGAATGCAAGACAATTACGTATGGATCTCGGTGGTACTGTAGCAACGAGACTTTAAAAAAAAACGAGGTCCTCGTTACAAACTGAAAAATCCAATGTGTGCATGAAGGGACCAGAAAAATATGACATCTGATCGTTATACAGTGAGGGAAAAAAGTATTTGATCCCCTGCTGATTTTGTACGTTTGCCCACTGACAAAGAATGATCAGTCTATAATTTTAATGGTAGGTTTATTTGAACAGTGAGAGATAGAATAACAAAAAAATCCAGAAAAACGCATATCAAAAATGTTATAAATTGATTTGCATTTTAATGAGGGAAATAAGTATTTGACCCCCTCTCAATCAGATATATTTCTGGCTCCCAGGTGTATTTTATACAGGTAACGAGCTGAGATTAGGAGCACACTCTTAAAGGGAGTGCTCCTAATCTCAGCTTATTATCTGTATAAAAGACATCTGTCCACAGAAGCAATCAATCAATCAGATTCCAAGACCAAAGAGCTCTCCAAGGATGTCAGGGACAAGATTGTAGACCTACACAAGGCTGGAATGGGCGACAAGACCATTGCCAAGCAGCTTGGTGAGAAGGTGACAACAGTTGGTGCGATTATTCGCAAATGCAAGAAACACAAAAGAACTGTCAATTTCCTTTGGCCTGGGGCTCCATGCAAGATCTCACCTCGTGGAGTTGCAATGATCATGAGAACGGTGAGGAATCAGCCCAGAACTACACGGGGGGATATTGCCAATGCTCTCAAGGCAGCTGGGACCATAGTCACCAAGAAAACAATTGGTAACACACTACGCCGTGAAAGACTGAAATCCTGCGGCACCTGCAAGGTCCCCCTGCTCAAGAAAGCACATATACATGCCCGTCTGAAGTTTGCCAATGAACATCTGAATGATTCAGTGGACAACTGGGTGAAAGTGTTGTGGTCAGATGAGACCAAAATGGAGCTCTTTGGCATCAACTCAATTCGCCGTGTTTGGAAGAGGAGGAATGCTGCCTATGACCCCAAGAACACCATCCCCACCGTCAAACATGGAGGTGGAAACATTATGCTTTGGGGGTGTTTTTCTGCTAAGGGGACAGGACAACTTCACTGCATCAAAGGGACGATGGACGGGGCCATGTACCGTCAAATCTTGGGTGAGAACCTCCTTCCCTCAGCCAGGGCATTGAAAATGGGTCATGGATGGGTATTCCAGCATGACAATGACCCAAAACACACGGCCAAGGCAACAAAGAAGTGACTCAATAAGAAGCACATTTAGGTCCTGGAGTGGCCTAGCCAGTCTCCAGACCTTAATCCCATAGAAAATCTGTGGAGGGAGCTGAAGGTTCGAGTTGCTAAACGTCAGCCTCGAAACCTTAATGACTTGGAGAAGATCTGCAAAGAGGAGTGGGACAAAATCCCTCCTGAGATGTGTGAAAACCTGGTGGCCAACTACAAGAAACGTCTGACCTCTGTGATTGCCAACAAGGGTTTTCCCACCAAGTACTAAGTCATATTTTGCAGAGGGGTCAAATATGCAAATCAATTTATAACATTTTTGACATGCGTTTTTCTGTATTTTTTTTGTTATTCTGTCTTTCACTGTTCAAATAAACATACCATTAAAATTATAGACTGATCACTTCTTTGTCAGTGGGCAAACGTACAAAATCAGCAGAGGATCAAATACTCTTTTCCCTCACTGTAGTTCAATACTAAAATGTACACACCATATGTGCTCGCGTTCACTGCATATGTAACACACCGTACTTATTGTAGATGACAATGGTTGAGACAGAAAGATACATGAATATAATGAAGTCCCTAATGTATGATATAAATGATTTGGTGATACTGCATTGGTAGTAGTGCTCAAGCACACATCACAAGAAACTCAACATCATTGTCATGAAAATTGTGGCCCTAAAAGGAAAAAAATATATAATCAGTGACACTTCAGGCCATGGACCCTTCTTCAATGCCATTAAACACAAATGTTTGGAGTCTTTCATACAATATATGATATACGGTGGCTATTTTAAATCAAGGCTTTAGACCTCTTTTATAATTTAGCCCTCTGATTTTATTCTGGCATATTATGATTATTTTACTATTTTATTAATATTTCATTCTTTTTATGTACTGTTATTTTTTTACGACGCTTTTTAAAACATTTGTCTTTGCGAACGCTTGTTTTATTTTAACTCACGACAAGTAGCTTTGAACCTCGTGGTATGAAAGACGCTCTATAAATAAAGATTATTATTTACTACCCATTAATGTGGTAAGATAAATATTAAATAACATCAATTGGGTTGTCTAGTGAAAATGAAAAGTAGCATTTGCATTTCCTACACATTACTACACTGCAGTCTCAAAACTCTGATTGCAGATCAATGTCCGTAGATAAAATGTCTAAATAAAATACTGTCTGTGGACTGTCATGATCATATATATCCCCTTATTAATCACCTGCTGGAAGAAGGCCTCCTAGTGCCATTCCCATCATGGTGGGTTGTTTGACCATACTTCACCACACTGGTCAGTGTGGGTTGTAAAGAAGGCGATCCATGATTGGCTCAGATATCACTTGCCACTTGTGGTGAATCAGACTCCAGCCACCAGATATGTAGGGCAGTGTGTGTTTACCATTTAGTCACAAATCCTCTTAGCGTATGCGATGAACCTGAGTAAAAATACAATGGGGTTGTAAGCCAATTATCACTCTGGGGTTGGATAAAATACGTACCACTTTGCCGGTATACCACGGAGGTTTCCCTACGGGAAGACTGACTCGCACCAGGGATGTCGCGAAGGGGTATATGGCTGGGCCTTGCAACACCAAATGTCCCTTTGGCGTAACCCAAGTTCACTCCCCATAGTGGTGTATCACTATTACGGTGCCCCCCCCCGCACCCCTGCCTCCCGTCCCACGCCCCCATCCGAGAGCTGCTGGTGCTGGACTGAGCTCAAAAAACATTTCCACCACTGGTTAAGGGAAGCCACAGTAGATGTGCATAGCTTCAGGTCTCGTTTTCACACGGGACACGTGATTTAGAAATGCAGCATCATCAAATGAGCACAAGATACGTGTCAAAGAGACAAGTATGCATGTGTGTATACAGTGGAAGCTGGATATAAAGACAGTTCTGATATAAGTAACAGAGACTGCACTGGACGGGTGGAGAGAAGGCGACGGGTATCTTCCGATACAAGCAAAGGACTTTGAATATATAAGTATGCATGGTACTGTTCCCAAGGGATGTGCTTATATCCATATTGTACTGTATATACATATTAGTATGCACACAGTGTTTTTTTTTCTCAAAATATGATGAATGCATGCTATATTACTTTATATATTATTAATGTATACTGCAATGTATGCGGTGTGCATGCACATCACATTTGTTCCACAATAAATGCAGGCAGGTGTAATTTGTCTTGTGCTGCACATGTTCCGGCGTTCCATATTTTAGCGTATTTCTTCTCTGAGCAATCACCTTCTTCTGACCAAGAGTGATGTCCTATATTTAGAAAGGCCATTAATCGGCCATGGGGGCTAGCTAGCAAAGCCTGAGATATTACCACAATATACAGCTGCGGGGGGATAGGCTAACACTGGAACCAGTGGCAATTACCCAACAAATGCTGCCCACTGAGCCAAGGTTTAAATGATATTACTTAAATAGGCAAAACAAGATAACGACCTCCTGTATAGCCTTAATAGACCTGTGGGGCCAGTGGTGTTCACGAGCACCTTTGAAGGCCAGCACGGCAACCAGTACTCTTCCTTGGAATAGATATTGTCCTCAGTTCAAGAACTAACCTTTTTGGTGTACACTGCTTCAAGATGTGCCCAATATTCATGCAATTTCCTGACAAATATCCGACGGAAAAAAATGCTGCTATTTTTTTTGCCGATTTGGATTATTTCCCATCTAAATGCAGGTCCCACATGTCCAGAAAGTGGGCAAGGCTTACTTTGTGTGTGGGCAGAAACAGATTTTCAACTGATTATCGGTGATATTTTTTCTCTAGAAAATTTGACGAATGTTATTCCAGTCAATAGTATATATATGTTCGGCAAAAACGAAACAATCGGTCATTCTGTTCATAACATATATGGCACTGCTATACCATCAACAAATGTATAACGTCCCACATGGTTAAATAAAAAATCTTTACAGACGGTGTATTGCATAGATTTAGTGAAATTCTAGTGGTTTAAACTGTAGCCAATCGATATGATTTGCTAAAGAAACAAAAAGGAATATCGAAGTCTGAGGATGATTTCAATAAATATCTCACAAAAAAACCCCCAATTTTTCATTGGATCATTCTAAGACGAACAACTCAAATGTTGTGAGATGCCTCCACAATCACTGGCAAAGCACTGTGTAATTCACAGGGACATCAAACAATTAAAATGCGACTCAAAGATTGGCCGGGATGGAGCAACACGGCTCATTCTGTGACCCCCCCCCCCCGCTTTAGCCTGAACTCCAGCCCCCTGAGATTAAGTTTGGAAACAAAGTGGCTCCATCTGCCAGGGCTACAATCAGTAAAAGTAAAAAAAAATAGATATAAATTGATAAGAACGCCTAGTTCATTATGTGCCGTGTTACAGTATGCGTCCTGGACCCGTGAATGTCTACAACAGAAAGAAGCCTGGTACTTAGGGGAGAGTTGTAAAGTTCAGTGAAGACAATAATTAAGTGGGGGGGAAAAAAAACCAAGATTAAAAATAAAGTATGAGTGGCTGACATGCCCATCATGTTCAATCCATCATCGTGACTTTAAATTGGTAGGTTTCTTCTGCCCAATTTATTATAGACTAAAATGAACAGAACACTATTTTCATCCCTTCATTCCATAAATAGCAAGCTGCAGTATAAAAGGCTTCCAAGTATGGGCTGTCACAACTACAAATTATTAATCTTCAATGACAATTGTGTTCTTTTAACATTTTTTTGCAGCTACTTTTCCGACCATATGTCTGAAATGTACAATCACATACGGGTCGAGTAAAATGCCTCACTTTAGTTTGCAGGTCGTTGTATAACCATTGCTGGATATAGGCCTGCTAACACTGTCAGTGACGGTACGTTTATATATATTTTTAATCATACTTCACCCCATGGTCAGTGCGAATTGTTGAGGAACGGATCAGGTCAGATGTCACTTGCTGCTTGCGTTAGCCATGGCCGGGAATCAAATTCGTACCATCAGATTCATAGCACTGTGTGCCAACCACTGCACCGCTAAATCCCCCCAGCCCTCCCCCTGACATTGCCTGAGTATACAGCCTATTCAATATACAAACTGTCGAAATAATACCACCAAATATTGCGTAAAAATCAAATTGTTTGGCCTTTTTCTTCACGAAAACGGACATCTGCTCATCGAATTCAATATTTCTAAGTAATGCTGTGTACAGTGAGCAACCCTCTGTTGAACGAGGAAACAGTTTACAGATTTGACATTGCAAGTTAAAGAAAACAATAGAAAATGTAAGTGAAACAGTAGATGGAAATTAATCGAGCAACAAACACATCGCATTGACGTGAGACGTGACGTAGCAGACCGTGTTAACATTGCTCATATACAGTAGAACCCCTATTAAAAACCACCCCTGTTAACGACGAATCGTTGAACGGTGGGCCTCCATAGAGCCCAATGTGTAGTGTATAGTGTAGTATATAGTAGTCTAGTGTATAGTAGTGTAGTGTATAGCAGTGTAGAGTAGAACCCCTCTTAATGACCACCCCTGTTAATGACACATCGCCTAACGATGGGCCTCCATAGAGCCCAATGTGTAGTGTATAGTGTAGTGTATAGTAGTGTAGAGTAGTGTATATTAGTGTAGTATATAGTAGTGTAGAGTAGAACCCCTCTTAATGACCACCCCTGTTAATGACTAATCGCTTCACGATGGGCCTCCATAGAGCCCAATGTGTTCACTTACCGATCATTCCCCTGTTAACCACGGACTGTTGAAGGTACGGTAAATATTAAATAATGCATTGATTAATCATGTTCCTCTTAATATTACGTGTTTAAAATATTGTTAGTATCTTTATGTCTTAATACCCATTGTTTAAATACTATAAAGTAGTTTTTTTGGGTGAAAAAGGGTAACATTCGATGCCATCGGAACGAATTAAGCCTTGAACATGTATTTCCTATACTCGCTTCACGACCAGTTTCATGGAACCAATTGCCCTCGTTAAGAGGGGTTCTACTGTGTATATTAAATAAGGCCACATGAAGGGGTTTTTTTGGGGGAGGGGGGGTCCCTATAAAATGAATCTCTTCCGCAGCCCTTCGCCAACACGCCGGGTGCCGGGGGCTGTGTGAGTTGTCCAAATGTTGTTAATTCATCTCTCTCGTGAAACGATGCCGACCGCGGACGGGTGTGAAAAACAAATTGTGGGGGCCTTTTCGATTAAAAAGAAATGGAGACGTTACAATGATAAGAACTGGTGTGAGAAAACATGTGGTCAAGACACATTTCTAATGGAACAATTTCTAACAGAACAATTTGCTTCAAAGTAATTTATTATGGATCAATAATCCAAAGTAGCAGGCTTTGAATGACGAGGTCACTCGCATTCAAATTCCAGTCAGAGGCCATTCAGCCCATCATCACACCCTCTGGGTTGGTAAATTACACACTTTCCAGTGAGCATCACATATTGATATGGCAAGGCTTAACGATAGACAAGGCCTGTCACAGGCATGTGGAATTTCCATTTACTGACTTACAACGTTTAACAGAGATGAACACCACCCGGCTCAAAGCAGTAACTTTACTCACTTTGCAGATTTGTTAAGAGAGTAACTAAGGGCATGATATTTAATTGATTGCCCAAATAAGGAGCAGGCATTGTTGTACTTGGTACAAATGCCTTTTAACACGAGATATATCTCAACAATATTTAACAACATCCACTCATGTTAAACTGTATCATTGGACAGCCCAGATGCATCTGATATGCAGCTAAGCCATGGATGCATAAATATAAGGATGGTTGGCACTTCGATGCTGTATAAATCCAAACTGTATTCTAAAATAAAATAATCAGCCCACTCAAAACTTTTGGAGCAGCAGAGGTAGAGTGATCTCCCATCATGCGACGGAGAGGTTGATGAGATGGAGGCTGAGAGAAGACTCCCAACGAGAGGCATCTTCCCCAAGTGTCCAAATAAAGGGAAACGTATGAAGTCTAAGAGCACTTACCTGCTTCGAAATAAAGTGTCCGCCCATTTCAAATTAAAACATTTATAATGTATATAGACCACAGAGGGATATACATCGATATATATACGGCGAGATAACACACATTTGTGACGATGGAGCGGGGCGGGGGGGGGCAGTGGTTTAGTTATCAGGAGTGAGGCAAGTGGGTCTACTCATATCATTACAGTGCATCATTGCCATCACCGCAGATACGCACACGCTGTGGCTCAGACTGCTCTCGAGTGACTGTGTGCACATGAGTCAGCGAACGTGTGGGAGGGGGGTGTGGAAGGAGGGGGGGGGGAGCGGTGGGGGGGGGTGCATGTGATGGTCAGGGCTTGCAAGGGTGACACAGTGGGGGGAGGTTGGGGGGCTCGTAAGAGGAAACGTGGCGGAGAAGAAGGCATCCCACCTACCCATTTCTCCATGTCAACCGGCTAGCAAGGGGATGGGGAAAGGCAAAACACAGGAGTCAGCGGTGGGTCGCTGAGCTTTGTCATCGCTCACAACGAGGGTTGGGTTAAAAAGACACGTCCGCCTGCGCCATTGACAACAACACAAAAGCACAGGTAATGAGACTGTGAATGCAGGCGACTATAAGCTCTGGCCTACCCGTACCATCGTTACACAGTGGGGGTTTACATGAAGTGGTTAAACAACGTTGAAAATGACATCTCATTGATGTAGATACACACAAACAGAAGTGCCGTTGTGTGGGGTAAACGATATTTACGGTAAGGTGCGCCCGTTTGACCAAACTGGTGGCACTTACCTGTCCAGCCCACTTATGAGTTGCCATGACATGATCGCAGACACACAGAAGCCAACCTATGCGAACACTGATCTTCGATGATTAGGCTCCCTATATGCCACATGTTACAGAGAAGCAATCCATGGTACACTCGTAAACAGTACTTCAAATACCGTCTCTTCCCCAATCTCTGCTATTCCAAAAGCCCTATCCTATCTCACATGCCCAATAGAAATCTTAGATAAGTGATGGTAACAAAATATTGCCCAACCATGATAAGTGTCAAGCTGTAACATCAAGTACTTGCTCAACCATTAACATATATAAATTCTTCCATATAACAAATATTTGCGATGAGTCAATGTATTTTATTGGGCCACAAAAAACTATATTGCAGTAGGTAGGAGTCAAATAAGATGGAAATTAGGTACACACAAGCAGCAGTGGAAACATAGGTTAAGAAATGTTATGAAATCACCGTTCCCAGTGTCTCTGATGCAAATACACCTCATCATCACTCTATTCATCATGCTAGATCCTTCTCAGCTGTTGTACAGTAATGCACCTGGCCTCCAAGGTTTACTATTACAGTAATCAAACTACCAGGTCTTAGGTCTTTTCTTTGGTCTCTGGCAACACGGTTCCCAGAATCCAATACCGTCTCATTAATGTGCCCTCCATCCTGCAGACATGTATAAACCATAGCAACCTCGTCTCACTGATGAGGTGTACTACAGAATTCAATAGCACATTATTGTACTTTGCTGCAATTTTGCAATTCGGATTTCCAAATTATTTACTTTATCCTGCCACGTACAGTGAGGGAAAAAAGTATTTGATCCCCTGCTGATTTTGTACGTTTGCCCACTGACGAAGAAATGATCGGTCTATAATTTTAATGGCAGGTTCATTTGAACAGTGAGAGACAGAATAACAACAAGAAAATCCAGAAAAACGCATGTCAAAAATGTTATAAATTGATTTCCATTTTAATGAGGGAAATAAGTATTTGACCCCTCTGCAAAACATGACTTAGTACTTGGTGGCAAAACCCTTATTGGCAATCACAGAGGTCAGACGTTTCTTATAGTTGGCGACCAGGTTTTCACACATCTCAGGAGGGATTTTGTCTCACTCCTCTTTGCAGATCTTCTCCACGTCATTAAGGTTTCGAGGCTGACGTTTGGCAACTCGAACCTTCAGCTCCCTCCACAGATTTTCTATGGGATTAAGGTCTGGAGACTGGCTAGGCCACTCCAGGAGCTTAATGTGCTTCTTCTTGAGCCACTCGTTTGTTGCCTTGGCCGTGTGTTTTGGGTCATTGTCATGCTGGAATACCCATCCACGACCCATTTTCAATGCCCTGGCTGAGGGAAGGAGGTTCTCACCCAAGATTTGATGGTACATGGCCCCATCCATCGCGTCTTTGATGTGGTGAAGTTGTCCTGTCCCCTTAGCAGAAAAACACCCCCACAGCATAGTGTTTCCACCTCCATGTTTGACGGTGGGGATGGTGTTCTTGGGGTCATAGGCAGCATTCCTCCTCCTCCAAACACGCCGAGATGAGTTGATGCCAAAGAGCTCCATTTTGGTCTCATCTGACCACAACACTTTCACCCAGTTGTCCTCTGAATCATTCAGATGTTCATTGGCAAACTTCAGACGGGAATGTATATGTGCTTTCTTGAGCAGAGGGACCTTGCGGGCTCTGCAGGATTTCAGTCCTTCACGGCGTAGTGTGTTACCAATGGTTTTCTTGGTGACTATGGTCCCAGCTGCCTTGAGATCATTGACAAGATCTTCCCGTGTAGTTCTGGGCTGATTCCTCACCGTTCTCATGATCAGTGCAACCCCACGAGGTGAGATCTTGCATTGAGCCCAAGGCCGAGGGAGATTGACAGTTCTTTTGTGTTTCTTCCATTTGCGAATAATCGCACCAACTGTTGTCACCTTCTCACCAAGCTGCTTGGCAATGGTCGTGTAGCCCATTCTAGCCTTGTGTAGGTCTACAATCTTGTCCCTGACATCCTTGGAGAGCTCTTTGGTCTTGGCCATGGTGGAGAGTTTGCAATCTGATTGATTGATTGCTTCTGTGGACAGGTGTCTTTTATACAGGTAACAAGCTGAGATTAGGAGCACTCCCTTTAAGAGTGTGCTCCTAATCTCAGCTCGTTACCTGTAGAAAAGACACCTGGGAGCCAGAAATCTTTCTGATTGAGAGGGGGTCAAATACTTATTTCCCTCATTAAAATGCAAATAAATTTATAACATTTTTGACATGCGTTTTTCTGGATTTTGTTGTTGTTATTCTGTCTCTCACTGTTCAAATAAACCTACCATTAAAATTATAGACTGATCGTTTCTTTGTCAGTGGGCAAACGTACAAAATCAGCAGGGGATCAAATACTTTTTTTCCTTCACTGTATGCAAATCAACCTCTGAATGCACCTACATACAGAGAGGCCAGGTACTTGCAGTTGCTTTGTTAAAGTCCAGAGATTATTTCATCTGATCAAAATGTCCTTTTCATAATGGCATCCCGTGCTGCACAGTTGGCAAGTGCATTAGACACAGACTGAGTAAAATGCACAACTACACTGACAAGGTGATAGTAGCGAAAGTGTAATGTGCCTGACATGACCACCAGGAGAGGCTTGCGCTGTGGCTTCATGATAAGACGTTGTGCTGTTATTTCTATACATGCGAGCATGCACACGCACAACCACACTGGAGCCAACGCAGGCACTCAATCATAAAAAAACCTGAATTGCAATCCTACACTATCTTCCTGCATGGTGGAAGGATTCCAAATTTACAGGCATCTTCCAGACCTTAATGCGCGCGATGACAATTTTTTTTAATTCGGACAATTATGTCTAAATTCTTGTCAGTGCGTGACTGGTACTGAAGCAACTCACTGGGATGGATGGATCGACAGACATATGCACAGTCAGACTAGCAGACATACGTAAATATATGCTGACAGAGAGAGAGAGAACCCTATCTCCTAATGTAAGTTATTTCTAAAGTTCCATAATTTTTAATGTGCCATGAATAGTTGATAACGCATACATAGGGATGTGCCAAGTACACTCATAACAGAGATGTACAGTGGACCACTGCCCGGTCTCTAAGCCACCACCCACTGTGTTTTCATCCCTGCCTTTGCTGCCGATTATATTTCACCGACCAGAGGTCATGGTGGGCCTTGACCTTCAGAGCTTGTTAGTAACGCAACAATTGGTGGGGTCACCTTCCAGAGAGTCAGTGCACAGACACGGGGAGGTCTGCACTCCACGGGACCCTATTTTACAGGCCTGACATCCCTTTGTGGCCAAAGTACTGCTGTGCTCCTTAAAAACGTCTGATGCATGTAAATGTCGATATAAAGAAGGCTCCACATATAAAATTTGACAAACTATTGACTGGGTCACTTGAGGTTTACGTTGACATCTGGATGAGGTTCAGATGGCAGATTATTGTCTGCTTTGTACGGGACCATATTATATTGCTGTAAATTAAACAAGATAATTGAAAAGTGACATATGATGTTTTTTTAATTGACTTTGTGATCTTGATTGTAGCACTGATTTGAGTTTGTTTTTGTTGCCTCATCACAATTAATGTTCATCATTAACTTCCTTTGTTTTTCTTTCTAACGTGGTGATGGTTTGATAATAATATGGCAAAACAAGTTCGTGGATCTATAAGTAGAATAGTTTATCATGAAATAAGTATATCTAAATTTTGATTTAAAGCTTTCGTGACTGCAGGGATTCATATTCTTGGTTCTTTCGGTAAAGTCACGTAGAAGGGAAACAATAAAATAATAAAAATATAAAATTCTCACGACGTTTCGACCACAACACAAGCAATCATCATCAGGTGTGAAAACCACAACAAGAAAATTTGAAAATATCAAATTTTGAAAATTTCAAATTTTCTTGTTGTGGTTTTCACACCTGATGATGATTGCTTGTGTTGCGGTCGAAACGTCGTGAGAATTTTATTGTTTTATATTTTTATTATTTTATTGTTTCCCTTCTACGTGACTTTACTGAAAGAACCAAGAATAAGTATATCTAAATAAAAATATTTAATAACCTAGAAGTTCATATTATTGTTTGCAGAAACAAGTTTTTTGGCCAATTTTATTTTTAATGGCCAAATCAGCTGAAGGTTTGGAAGATTTACTGACATTTCCACGAAATATCCCATCCATGACCACGTGAGTGAAGCCAAGTGTCTCTTTAGCAAAAGAGAATTGTATTAAATGGTTTCAACCACTGCAATGAAAATAATTACAAAGTAGCAAATATCTCCGACAGTAATTTAGCAAAAAAAATCCTAGTGGTACGAATAAAACAAGAAGAATAACGGACAAGCATGAGGGGCCAAAATATAATTATAAAACAATTACAGTTACTAAAATCGCTGACTGTTTTGTCTCATCCATACCATGAACACACTGTAGGTCAAACCAATTATCTTTCTGCTTCTTTCCCTTACACTACTACAAAAGTAATCTTGTAATATAAGTACTTTGAGGTAGGAAGGCAAATGCACATGAGGGGTGTATGCAATTTTGGAATGGGCCAGAGCAGTTGAGAGATTAGAATTCATTTAGCACGACGAGAGCGAGGATGGTTAAACATAGCATTGTAATTTTAGCCACAAATTAAATCA